GCTTCCAGATACTCCCCCCCTCCTCAAGCTGGAGGACAGAGACACAGAGGTGGTAAGAGTGCTGGGGGGATCCAGACATGAACTCCAGCTTCTCAACAAACCAGTCTCTCACCCCCTTCCAGCTACCCAACCCCCCACGAACCAGGTCCTAGTTCCCTGGCCTTCCTCCCAAATGTCCCTCTCCTCAGGGACTCCCAAAGGTATTCCTAGCCATATCCCAGCTCGCAGTTACCTGTCGTCCTGGCCCCAGACCAGGGGGGCTGTATCAGTTCTGGCTGCCACCGGCCCTCGTAGGGGGAGCCCCATCCTACACTTGGGGCCTGGCCACGCCAGCTGGGGCTGTGGGGGAAACCCTGGTTGTGGGGGAAGAGCAGTTAGGAGGCACCTGTAGCTCCAGAGGTGTGTTTGGGGTGGCATGACTGGAGAATAAGGGGTGGGGGGTAATGTCAGAAAAAGGAAGGATGGCTGTCCCTCTGGAGTGGCCGAATGCAATGTGAATCCAAGGGCAGAGATGGTGATATTTTTATTCCTCGTCACTCACAAGTGTGCTAAACGTCAGATAGAGGAGAGGCTGCACGGAGGGCAATTCTGAGAAAGGGACACATGGCAGAGACCCTGCGGGTGGCGGGAAGGGGGAAGAGGAGGGGCAGAGAGTCACAGATACCAAGAAAACCAGAGACACAAGAGAGAAGGCAAAATCGAGGTCGTGCTATGAAGGAAATAATGGGAGGAAAAGGAAGGAGAGGCGCAGGCCAACACACACAGAAATGGGAGGACAGACAAGGAAGAGAACTCCAGGGCAAACGCACAAACAGGGAGCCCAGAAGAGAAGCAAGAGGAGAGAAAATCCTAAACACGAAACTACCCTAAAATCCCCACACAGGGTCAGGTTCGGGGTCAGCCAGGGCGAAGTGGCCCGCCAGCTCCCACCAGGGCCACAACCCCCACACAGGGGCAGGGATTGCCAATGGGCAAAGTGCAAGGGCTGGAGGTACAGTCCAGGCCTGGGATCCGCAGGGCCTGTGGCCCCAAACCCCTCGCCCAGCCCCCAGCACTTCCTCCCCAGGATCCAGGACAATGGGCAGGGGAGGGCGGGGTCATCCTGCATCCATCCAGCCCGGGCTCCGGGTGGAGGAAGCCAGGATACCTGTCTTTATGGGGAAGAGAGGGTAACCCTGGGGTCTGTCTCCCTGAAAAGGGGGAGACGGGAAAGGGGCAGGCAGGTCTCGGCCTCTGCCTGAGGCTAATGCTATGGCCTCCACTGCCCTGGGGAAGGTGCCAGACTGGAGCCCAGGAATGTGGGTGATCGGGTGCCCACACCCTGGGAGGAGAGGCTGAGCAGCCTACGCCCACGGAGACAGGGTGGAGAGTGTGGAGAGAGGGATCCGGGATGCTGGGGCCCCTTCTGGGACCCTGAAGGGCCTCAAAGTGCTGTCATGTTGGCTGGGTCTCACCTCGCCGGCCTCGGGGGTGGGGGTGCAGAGTGAGAGGGCCGGTGTGTCCCGGGGCAGGAAGGGAGTAGCTGACATTAGAGGCTTTCTCAGGAAGAACAGCCCTGACCCCGGACCCTGACCACACTGGGGGGGACCTGCAATGGTGACGCCGAGGGGGCCAATGGAGCAGGGATCGGGACGGCACGGCTCGGGGATAGCGGGGGACAGGGCCAGGGGACAGGCAGGTCAGCCGGCTCAGCGTCAAGGCGCAGTGGGTGCAGGGAGGGGCCACGACTGGGGAGGGGGTGACCCACCCGAACCGGAGCCCAAGGACCACCTGGACCCAGCCCGCCCGGCAGATCTCACACAGGCCCGGACCCCGGCCTTCCTGGGAGGCCGTGCGGACCCGTCCTCCGGTCCAGCCAACCGACGGCGGCCCGGGCCTGGCACCCATCTGCACCCCCGCGGGACCCATAGCACATGACCCGGCTCTGCGGCCCGCCGGCCCTCCCGGGTCGCGCACCCGAGGACCCCGCGCCCGCCCCCCGGCCCGACACATTCCTCCGCGGGCGTCCCTCCCTCCCCTCCCCCAGCTCTCACTTGGCGGCGGCGGGGCTCCCGGAGCGGCGGGCACGGCGCACAGAGACAAACTTCCCGGGAAGCGGGAGACGCGAGCGGGGCGATCCGGGGCCGGTTCGGGGCTGCCCCCGCCCCTCGCCGGGTCCCCGGGCGGCGGGCGGCCGATTCACGCCCCGCGGGCGGCTGCAGAAGCGGCGCCAGCGGCCGGCGCCCGCGAGCTTGGGCGTGAACGAGGGGCGTGGAGCGGACGGGTGCGCGCTATCCGGGCTGGCGGTGGCGCGCCGCCTGAGCAGGGCCCGGGAGAGGACTGGAACGACTGTTATAGGGGCAATGCCCTCGGGACTGTGGGCCCACCAGGCGGGGATGGGGAGCCAAGTTACAGTCGCCGAAAGGCGAGCTGGACGCCGGGAGCCGGGAAGGTTATTAGCGCCTGAGGAGCCAGAGCGCTGGCGCTGTCCTTTAGGGGACCCATACCAGCCCACGCACGCGCACGCGGCGGGGGCGCGCTCGGCAGCGGGACCTCTCGCCGGGCCCCGCTCAGGAGGTGGCTCTGCGCAACGCCCCGCCCCGGCGCGCGGTGCGGACGGCTCCTC